TCCGGACACTGGGAATTAAAATGTATGTCTCTGAATCCAAGACTGAAAGTGGACTACGTGGAGATTGAAGTGAAACTGTTTTTTTTTTTTTTTTTTTTTTTGTCTTCAATTATATTGCGTGTTTTGTGCTAGGAATGAAATGGTGCTCTGATACTAGTGCTCCCATAAATACACTAAATATACAGTAATAGCAATAGCTTGCTCCCTCTGTCCCTTGCATCTCTCTCCACATCTGCTAAAATATTATACCTAACATTCTTGATTCAAGGGAAGCTGAGAAAATAAAGACTGTACGATGTTTACATAGGTTTTGGTTTTCAATTTTGTGTTTCTTTTCCTTCCAAATCCTTCTTCCGGCATATTTTCATAACGTTTGCAAATAAAACTCCTTGCACACGTAACTCTACACAGCAATCCAGGCATACTAAGTTCCCTACCACCATTTTAAAACATTCTCTGTAACGCGGGGAGTATAAATAATAATTCTCTTTGAAACGTGTGCAAGGACGGACGTCGTGAATTAATGTATCACGTTGCTTAATTATTTTCGTTGGTGATAATATTCACTTGTAAAACGTATTAGGGATGTGTTTTAGGACTCTGGCGGCAGATTGGTGAGAGGGGAATATGTAGTACAACAGCAATTTGTACTTGAAAATGTATGTGCCAACAGCTTTTGGACGGTAAATGAAGGTAATAAATAACATGAACACACACACACCTACATGTCCGCTCTCCCCCACGCTCCGAGGCCGCATCTACCCGGCAAAGGGACGGAGGGAGATGGAGGGATGGAGGCGCGGGGGACTGCGTGGGTACAGCCGTGGATAGGCAGACACGCGGGACGACCGAAGCGAGGGCAGGAGTGCTCGCAAGGCCCGCGGAGAGTGAATATTTCGTGACTCTGAAAGCCGCAGACCCCGCCGTCTTGGTGCCCCGAGTCGCGGCACGGCCGCGGGTGCTCCCTCGGCCACCTCCGCTCCCTCAGATCCCTCTTCTCGGTGCCCTGGACAGCAAGGCACGGAGCTCCCTGTCTTTGCTCACCTGATCCAGCCCCTCGCACAGTGGGATATTTCTCCAGAGGAGCCTCGAGCCGAGCCCGGAGGACGAGGCAGCGGCTCGGCTCGGAGCGGCCTCCCCGCGGGACCGGGCGCGGAGCCTCCGCCGAGGCCACCGCACACCCGAGGCTTTGGGGGAGACACCCCGGTGGGGTGGGGGGCTCCGTCGCTGGCCTGGGGTCCTGCTTCCCTGACGGGGACTCCCCGCTGCGGGACCGGGAAACATGACCTGCTCGTCCTGCTAAAGCCTACGGGAGGCTCGAGCCTCGATGCTGACTTACATGGTAGCAGGGGTCGGATCCAAAATGTTACCTTACTCCTGCCAGCGATCGCGAGGCAAACGCTCCCCTTTTTACCCTGTGAAATATATACGCGGCTGAGCTATTTGAACAGTAGTGGGAATTTAAATTCGCTAATCCACAGTCAGTCTTGAAATGCTTAGCAAATTTGAACGGTAGGTAGTTCAGTGCGAAAACATAATCTTCAAAAGCTAGCTCCGATTAAAAGTTACCTTAAAAAAAAACCAAAAAAACCAAACCAAACAAAAAAAACCCCAAAACAAAATTTAAAAAGACCCCCACAAACAAACAAAACCCGAAAACCTGCAATTATACTAATGTCGGCCGTGTTCCCATTGTGGGCTTCTTTCAAGGCGTCCCTGAATTGTATCCCTCCGGGGCAAGGTCTGAAAATAGAAGATCCTGACTAAGGTAAGCAGGATTCAGTCCTCTGTATCACCCCCAACTCGGACCTGAAGTAAATATAATTTGTGGCGTCTCATGCAATAATTACACAGGCTGTGAAATGGCACAGGTTAGGAAATATAACGAAATAAACAAAATTATTCACTCGGAGGAAGAACAAGTGTAATTCACTAGTGGCCTTCTGCAGGCAATTTCTTTCGTTCAGCAGAAAACGACGCAAGTAGACGGTGGAAAGGCGGCTGTCCGGTGCCTGCAGCCGAGGCAGACAGCCCGTGGGCAGCAGGTACAGCCGGTGGGAGACAGGTTCCCGGCGCCAGTCCACAGCCCCAGATATTCGAGCAGGGAGGATATCAAGGCTTCCCGCAGCTAGAACAGCTCCAGCGCGGACTTTTCTGCCTGCTCCAGCTCCGCTGAAAATCCCAGGCCGTGGGGCTACCGCGGTGGTCCTGGAGACTACCGGCTCCCCACTGGTTCCCCACGCCCGTGGGCAACCCAAGGCCCTGCCCGCCGTGGACGGGTGTGGTTGAGCCCGTGGATCCTTACCCGTGGTCCCTCGCACGGTGTCGCAGGCCACTGGAAGGCCGGGTGCTTGTCACGGGGGGCCGACACCCTGTCGCCCCGAAGCACAACCGAACCGCATGGTCTGGGAGCCGCCTGCCAATAATGTGACACTCCTAGGCTATTTTCGCAGCAGGATGGGATTTCTCGCTCAGAAATTCCCTGACCGGCCTCAGAAGGGATGCATCCAAAATTCCCACGCTCCGCGGCCGCGGATTTCCCGCGGCCTGAGAAACCACAGGGCTTCGCAGCTCGAGAAACCACAGCGGTTCACAGCCCTGCGCGGCCGCACACGGCGGGAAGGGTAAAATCCCAAAAGTAGGGCAAAGCGCCCGACACGAAAGCCTCCTGGAAAATAAATCCCGCTCCTGCAGGTAGTTTTCATGTCAGTTATTGCACGAATGCGTTACAGACAGATCTGAGGGACGGAAATCGCTCTGCGCTGATCCCTGTAGAGGTGGGTCCTTTTGAATTTCAGAAATGTAAGGCTAGAAGCGCACAGCGAGCGCGGTATATGATACCCTCTAAATGTACCGTAAAGGTTCCCCAATAGCTCTAATTAGAGCTACAGACCACCGCAGGAGACAGGCAGCTAAAGCAAACTTCTCTTTGTGCCCGACCAAAGTCGCCCTCCACTCACTATCCCGGCCGGCCTGCGGCTCCTCGCACGGCACCGGGCATCCCTCAGCCGGGCACCGACTGGGCACCTCGTCAGCGCCGCCGCTGCCCTGTCACCGCCAGAGACAGAGAGAGCACGGGAAGCACAGCCTGCTCGGCGCTGTGCCGTGCACGTCCAGAGGTGCTGCACAGAGCCGTGCGCGGCCGGGATGCGGCGCGGCGGGGCCGGGATGCGGCGCGGCGGGGCCGGGATGCTGCGCGGGCGCGGCCAGGTGCGGACGCCACCCCGCGCTGGCCACGAGGTGGCGCTGTCGGCCCGCGGATGCTGCCGGCGCCGGGAGCTGTCAAAAGTCAAGGTCACAAATCGGCTTTTTTCCCCTCAAGGTCAAGGTTTCGGGCCTTGCCCGGCCTGTCATCGCCGCGCAGCCCCCCCACCTCCCCGCGGAGGCATCTGCAGGCTGAGCAGCGCGCCCCCAGCCCAGGGGTCGGCCGCCGGCCTCCATTTCCCGGCGAGGGCTGCGGCGCTGCGCTCGTATCATCCTGGTCTTCCACCCCCCGTCCCCCAGCGCGGCTGCAAAACCACTGTTTAACATTACCGAAACATTTATAGTTTAGGAACGCCGGTTATCAGGCGTGCCTACCCGCCGATAAACACCGCCAAGAAAAATAAAACAAAATCCACCATCTATACACAAGATACATACTGAAAGACAGCAGTATTATAATTATAAGACAGATGCGTTATATTTTTCTATTAAATGCGCATAGAAATGGAAAAAATAAAGAGTATTTCTTTCAGGTTTTATTACAGTGACTATTTTATTAACAGTATTAATACTACTATACTTCTACACGTCATGGGTTTTCATTTTTTCAGTAGAAATATATAAAAAAAAGGGTGCATAAGTACATTTTCACAGTGCGCTGATTTTTTTTTTATTTACAAGATAGCTTCTTATAGTGAATAAAAACAAAATAATGTGCTGGTTGAAATAACTGATTGGATTAAAAGGTGCTGTAAAAAGAATCCCTAAACATTCTACTGCGGCCTCATAACAGACAGTAAACAAGGAGAAATGACTAATTACTTATAGATCAAATATAGATTACATAAATCAAAATATTTCTGGGAAAAAAAAGTATTTCAGTTCAAAGTTCTTGGGTATTTTTTCCCAGGCCATTTTTTTTTTCTACTGTAAAGAAATGCCAATATTCAAATATCAAAAATTTCGGGGGACTTAGAATATTAATTATGGAAGATTATTTCAGGTTTAAAATAGCCAGAGTCCTTTAAAATGTATCTATTGTATGGTCTGCAGGAGAAAAAAAAATAAAATTAAAACCCCCAAACAGACAAAAACCCCCAGTTTAGATGACAAGAATTCATCTGTGGAAAACAAAAAATAAAACCGAAAGACATCTCCAAGCAAATATTTTCCTTTCTATCCTCACTAATTTGCGATGTTTAAATTTACTATCAAGATAGATCCTCCACAGAACTTCCTTCATTACTGATGTCTCTGAAATCCTTATTCAGTACCTTCGAGGTTTATTATTACTTTTTGACAATAAATGCATTGCTTAAAAACATACAGTAATTGTAATTGTTTCACTATGGTTTACCTGAGCAGTCATTCAACATACAGTTTGGATTGCAATGGAAGAAAACCAGATCATGTGTCCACATCGACCTCCTCACGTTAACCAGCTCTCGCATCGTGGCCACGAAGAGTCTTCTTTCCAATAGTAGGGTCTTGGAAGTATTTACAAGTTTCTCAGAAAATCCTGTCTAATTGAAAGTGTATCTCTCGGAGCTGGCCTTGTGGGCTGTACAGTCTGTCAGTGATACTGGCTGGCTGTTTGGGATTTCAGGAGAACTGTCAGTTTTCACCATTTTGCTACAGCAATATTAAAAAAAAAAAAAAAAAAAAAAGGAAGAAGAATAAGAAAGAAAGGCTATAATTCCAAAGATACAGATCTCTTGTTCTGAAAGAAGAGGTTCATTGTCTTTTCTCTTTTTAATTATTATTAATAATTACTTTAATCTGAACACACACACAAAAAAAAAGTTCTGAAACTCTTGAATTGCTGCTTCTCCATTTTTAATCCATTAACTGGTAGTCTTCAATTTGTTGATCACTTTTTTCTCTTTGACCCTTCTGTTCTGGAACCAGATTGTGACCTGTCTCTCTGATAGATTTGTAGTCGCCGATATCCTCCTCCTCTTGTCTTTGGTTATGAATTTATTTGTAGCATATTCCCTTTCGAGTTCTTTTAACTGGACCTTTGTGTAAGGCACTCGTTTCTTTCTTCCACGTCTGTACGAATTCGCATCCGAGGGATGAGAAACGACGTCTGCAACAGAAAAACCATGCAGGGAAGCGTTAGAAAATCGCACGAACCGGCTAGGACATCTTCAAGAGGTACAAGGACTAGGGTTAGAGCACACTTCTCCGCCTGCCCCGCTCCGATTTAGCTAGTAAAGCCCGGCTCAGCACTGGGGACTCCTCTTTCCCGGCCGCCGCAGACAGCTTTTAGGCAGGGAAAGGTTTATTTCTGTCAGACAGACAAATAATAACAAACCCCACGTAGCCCGGCCAGGGACTCCGGGAAGGACCGAGAGGGGCTACAGAGATTTACACAGCTTACTTCGTGGTCTATGGAAAATAATACCACAGACCTTCCCGCGGCCCTTTTCAGCTGTTTCCTCTCCCGGGGCCAGCGCCGGGGCCGGCCAGGCGAGGCGGGATGTGCCGTGCGCCGGCGGGGGGCAGGGGGCGGCACCGGTGCCGTTCCAGGGCGCTGGGGCATGTGTGGACCGGGGCGGGATGGGACCGGGAACGGCGGGCGGGACGGCGAAGGGTCGGCCCGGGGCGGGTTATCAGGGAGCCCTGCCGGCGGGATACCCGGGAGAGGCGATCGGGGCAGGATGAAAAGAAGAGACAGGGGGAGCCATGCAGGTGTATTACCCGGGAGAGTGGATTTCCAGAGGTGAGGCGGCTGGCTCTGCTCCTTGGGGCAGTACACTTGCCCGTTCCACCCGTTCGTGATGGCCCAAGGCTGGTAGCTGTCCATGGGGAGAAGGGGGTCGTGTCGCGGCTCGCCGGGGCCGCCGATGGCGGGCACCACGGGCATATCCAGATAACCGGGCACCGGCTGGTAGGGCCCGGCGGCGTAGCCCTGGTAGAAGGCGAACTCCTTGGCCCGCGACGTGAACTCCTCGCCGGAGACCGAGGTGTCCATGTACTTGTCGGCGAAAGTGGAGGCGGGCTGGGCGCAGGACTTGATGGCGTTGTGGTGGGTCATGCGACAGGGGTAGTAGCCGCTGCCGAAGTAGCCGTAGGGCAGCGCGGCGCCGGAGGAGCTCTGCACGGCGGCGGAGCAGGGGCTGCACTGCTTGACAGTGGGCTCGGCCATGCCGGCGGCGGGGGCCTCGCTGGAGGAGTAGGCGGCGGCGCTGGGGGCGGCCAGGGGCGCGGGGTGAGCCATCAGGTTGCGGCAGGGGTTGGCCGCCGCCGCCGCCGCCGCGAAGTTGCTGCCGGCGTGAAACCCGTCCATGTTCTTATTGATCTCATCCAGGCTGTTGTCGTAGAGAAACATGACGGGCTCGATCCAGCGGGGGTGGAGGAGCACGGAGGCTGTCATAGCCCGCTCCGCATTGAGACTAGTGGCTCTTTTTTAAAAGCCCCAAAGACTGAAAAAAGAGATACTCAATCTCCGGGACTTGACCAGGGCTGACGCGCCAGCGTCGCGCCAGGCCGGCCCTCATTGGCCCGCCCGCCCCCACGTGATATGCAAAGCAGCTGATAAACATCTGAGGGAATAAAGTGGAGATAATTAAATAACGCAATCAGCGCGCGGGGCCGGGTCCCGGCCCGGGGCGCGGGCACGGGTGCGGGCGCGGTCCCGCCGCCGCCGCGCGGGACGAGGGCGCCGGGGGGGGGGCGGGCGGGCAGGACCGCCCGTCCCTTCTCCTTCCCTCCCTTCCTCCCTCCGGCCCTCCCTCGCCACCAAGGCGTGAGCTTTTTGGCCCCGTTGTTGCCGCGGCGCACCCCCCGAGGTGCGGGGCTCCCCTTGGCACCCCGCCTGATTTCTCCTTGCGCCGCTTTCCTTGAGCCCTCCCCGCCCCGAGAGCCGCGGAAACCCCGGAGGCCTCCCCTCGTCCCGGGGGGAAGATGAGCCGCACCCCTTCTACCCCCTTCCTCCGCCGGTCTGAGCCGCCGCCTCTCCCCGGGGAGCGTTGGCGGGGCCCCGTCCGGGTGACGCGGAGAGCCCACCGCAAGCTGAGGGAGGAGAATCGTTCCTCGGGCGCAACGCTGGGACACATAAGGCTGTCGAAACGGAGCCTCCCGGGGTCTTTTCTGGGTGTTTTCCTCCTTCCTTCCCGCCCGTCGAAAGCCCAAGACCCATCTCGCTCCTCTCGCCACAAAGTCTCAGAAGTCAGATAAGAGGAACTGACGGGGAAATCCCCATTTTATTTATTATTATGTTTTAGGAAGGTCTTGGGTAGCGGGAGAGTTAACTGGATATTCATCGTGATACAGCTGTATTATTTGTTGCCGTAATAATAAAACCTTGGGCCTACGATTCGACTTGAATCTTTTTCGGCTGTAAAATATCACGTCGGCTTGCACGGCGTGTGCACGGACTCTCGGCGTTTTCTGTGTGTGTGTATGTGCTGGGAAAACAAAATGGATTATCGGCTGAAAAATAGTGGTTTTTTTGGAAGGCCGTACCACTTTGCAAGTGAATGCTAGAAAAAAATCCCCCAACAACTCCTTTCTCTTTTCGGGACGAGTTTTTCATAGGGTGAAATAATTTCAATTTTTAATATCCTCCCACCTCCCATCGGAGCGGATGCTGTTCTCCCCCAAGCTTTTCGCTCACAGCCTTGAACCCAGAACCGTCCATCACTGAGCTATCAATAAACTTGACCTAAAGCAGCGTTCGTCTCATCGTTAACAGCTCTCAGCCCTCACGCGTGTGCACAAAACAGCCACAAATACTCCCATCCTGAAAACTAATTTTTTCCCCCAATTGCGTGTTGCTTTGTTTTGAGTCTGACAGCTCGGCGTATTTATTATCCTATTGTGCTTTCCATTGACGTTGTAGCATTGTTTTACCCTCATGGCTACAAGCGCAGAGCAATCCCGGGACGTACATTGTTACCGAGCAGGCTTTTCCTTGCCTAGCGCAAAGCTGCCAGCCATGAGAAATAGCTCTTTGGCGCCCAAGGATATTTTTTCAAGGTGCTTTTTCCGTGCCCTGAGTTGGGATACCTGAAGTCTCTGTCATCCCCCTGCTAATTTAGCAGCATTTAGCCGCTTTTTTCCTTCATTGTAGCCAGTAAAATGTTCCCACTTTAACTTCGCGCACTCTTTTCCGCATTTTTCCCCATGGCCAAAAGCAAATATTTATTCCACGCATATTTTCCCTTTTCTTTCAGGCTCCAGTTTTGAAACCTGTGGATTTACCCGGCCAAACATTGCTTGACTGCCATGAGTTGGTTCGGTTTTTTTCCCTCGGTTTTCTCTAGGCTGCTTCTGAAAATCGCTTTGCAGGACGAGGGAGGAGAAGTGGGAAGGGGAGGCAGCTCTATGGGGCAGCGCTGTTTTACATACGGGTTAGACACGGCTAGAGGCCAAGGTCAAGTTGAAAGTTGCAGTCTAGCCAATGTGAGAACTGTCATTCACAGCCCGAAGATTTGTCTGATTTGTTAAAAAGCGGGTAGCCATGAGAGCACTAATCTCTCCAGCTCGCCTCTACCCCCCTCCCCAGCCAGCCCCCACTCTCCAAACTCCCCTCAACCACAGCCGCAGAGAGTTTCTCGCTTATCTGCCTCTACTTTCCAAGCTCCTTTCCATCAGGAGGGAGAAGTCTTGTGAAACCGTAGCTTTCAGCCCCGGTGCAAACTGTACGAGTAGTGCGTGTGGGGTGTCCGGGAGGGGGGCAACGGGGAGCATCCGGTCCGCTGACTTTTGGTGGTTGTTATTTTGTTTTGTTTACCCTCCTGGGGCTGTTCCAGCCCTGTGTGCTAGAAGAATGGAGATTAGATTAGAGAGCTTGCTTTTCTCCCTTCTCCACATCTCGTACTCACTCTAGAGGTCCACTTAATAATTATGGAAGAAGGCCATGCTTGTCACTGATGATAAGAGCAGTAATACAACAGTTCTCTTTCCCTGTTTGCCATGATGTGAGGAGGATTTCGGGAAGGGGACTGTTTCCTCAAAATAGGCAAAAATGACATCTGCAGGGTGCGTATGCACCATCAGAAAAGTGTTGTCGGACACGGGACTCCACGCTTTGTTTTGCCTTCCTCATTTGGATGACTTTTAATAAATTATTGATACCGAGAGAACAGAAAAACCTCGTCAGATGTTTTTGATGACCCCGATACCAAATTTTCATTCCTCAGCTGTAATTTCTTCACCTTAATGGGTGTCTGCCATTAAATATTAGAAAGGAACCATGAGGACTGAAGGCATCCGTCAGAACGGATGTTCTTCGAAAATCGTGGACCTTGTAATGAACACCAAGGATAAAAACACTCCCGAGGCTACCCCCCTTGCCTTGAACACATACCATTCTCTAATACTTGTGGAAGAGCTTTTGCTTTTCACAATGTAAATCTTGGGATGAGCTGGATAAATTAACCAAAACTAAGGAGCCACTGATTTGAGCGTCTTTGGAAAAGTTAATTGATAATTAAATGCTTCCATACATGCAACCGACAGAACAATCAAAGCTTCTTCCAATTATTTTTTTGTCTTTTTTTCTTGTGAAATAACGTTAGAATACAGCACATACAAGCTCATGGTAGAATCATAGCGATTTCCAGGAGAACTAAAGCAAACCTCCGAACGGCTTTGCATTTATATAGAGTGTGAAACAACTTGGAGAGAAATGCATCTGTTGAATCGTTTCCTCTAAAACGAGTATTAATTCCTTGGGGAGCCGGACTATGAACAATCATGATCAGTAGGAAGATTTTAAAAGGTCCTGAATCTTTTCATAGGCAGGCAATTTCTAACTGATGATAGTCACTCATCGCGGTACACGGCCATGCTCATCTCACCAGGTATTATAAAATGCTGAAGTGGCATTTTTTAACCTCGTTGCATCGAGAGTGGTCAGAAACATTTCACCCACTTCGCAGGTGTAAGCAAGAGTGGAATTTGGCCCTTACAAGTGCTTTAGAACAGGTCACTGTGTGTGTGTTCCTGACGCCATGAAGCTGAGAATAGTCTTGCCAGTGAGGACTGCAGCAATATGGCCTTAAACGTGAAAATATAAACTACTTTTAAACCTCTTTAAGTGATAGGAATATGGCCACTCATTCACTTCTAAAGAGGCCCTAAGATTTCTCTTAAAGAAATCAGGAGTCCTTTCAGCTGAAAGACAAATTTTGAAAATATGGAGTTTGTCGGCTCAGTATCTAAAAAGCTTCCCCCCCCCCCCCCCCCCCCCCCTCTTTTTGGGAAACAACCCCCCCCCCCCCCCCCCCCCCCCGGGG